TTTTAAACATGAGGCTTATATACATGCCATATAGAAAGGGCTCTAAAGTGCCAAGCTGGTTGCATGGGTGCTTCCAGGTCAAGCAGGAGCTTTAGTTCTTTATGAAACTGCCCTGCTTCACCTCTGCATGATTCAGGCTTGGCCTGTTTGCATTTGTTGTAATCTCATGTGGTGATTCCTGGCTAAAGGTCCATGCCCTGTACCATGGGAAAGCGGTGTAAATGAAGGACATTGTTTAATCTCCTATTTATCACTGGGGAGATGGTGAGGCAGTTAAAACATTTGCTGTTCTTCCGGGAGACTAGAGTTTGGTTCTCAGCACCCAGGTTTGCTCTGTGCTTTCAGCGAGAGAGACTGCCCATGCTTTGTTGGGTGTGGAAAATCCTATGATTTCATTGGGACAATCAAATATTTTAATTTTATTTCAAATGCTAGCAGAAGGTCAACAGCAGAGATTCTTTTTTGACTTCCGGTTTTAGATACTAACGCTCATCTCAGCAACAGCAGTGGAAACAGCCCAGCACAGACACCCGAAGCCTCAGGAGCTCCGTGCCCCTTTACAGACCCCCACTCAGATAGAGTCAGATCCTGGACTCTGAATCCCAGGAGGAGCCCGAGTGTAGTAAATTAGTGGGCCTGTTAAAAAGAGCTTTAAAGTAACCACAATTTAAAAATAAAGTTATAAAAATAAGCAAAATCATACAAGGTGATCGATCTCCTTAGGACTTTTTTTTTTAATCTTTAAAAGAATTTCCTTTATAAATGAAATTATAAGGTGGCTTTATGAAGTGCACTATTTATTTTCTGTGATTAGAGAATAGAGTGCTATGCTGGCACAGTTAAACTCGAGGCTCCAAATGTCCGGGCCCTAGGAAAGCCCTGTCTATGTTTACCATCCTTGTTTGCAATGTCCTTCAGAAAACAAAAGCTGTCTGCAGGCAATCTTTGCCAGCTGGGTTGATGTTCTGAGCCCCTGCCAGCTTCCAGCCAGAGTCTGTTCCTTCCTGTGTCCCTTTCGTTTTCTCTGTCCTCCTATCCTGCCTCACTCAAGGTGACTTCATACTTTATCCAAATGAGAGCTGTCATTCTTACTTCAGGGCTGGGGTGACAGTCTTCTCCCTCTGACAACAGGAAGGCCTTCGGCTCACAGTGGTGGCTCAGGTGAGGCAGATAACCCATCAGCCATGGTACCATTGTGTGCTTTTTCAGAGGTATTAAGGCGTCTACAGGATTTTTCTTTACAACTTAAACACTGAGCAAATCCAGACATCCAGAGATGCTGAGATGAAAAAGATCCGTCTCCTCTTATGCTTCCATTTGCCCTATGAATAGTTGTCAGACAGCACATTCTATATATTTCAGGGAGACAATGTCACCCTTAATGTGTTGGCAGAGGATGTCACGGAGCTCTCAGAAGTCCCTGGCTTAGGCTCATTGGTAGGGACGGATTTGACAGCATATGCTGAGGATGCTGGTTTTGCCTTAACAATTGTAAAGTTTTTCTGCTTCTTTTCTCTTTCTCATTTCCGCTTTGTGCTGCACAATACAATAGAGATTCTGTTGACATTGATAAGCAGCATGGCTGACAAACACCATTCTTTGTTGTGATAACCAACATTTCAGATTCCTCTAAGGCCCTTGATAGACACCATCAAAACTTCATTTCTCTAGTGGGCTCCTGTCAATCACTTCCAGTTAACTCACTAATTGTGAGTGCCTTCAATTCCCTTGAGATTAAACAACTTCTGTTGTTTATAACTTGTGGAGATTCTCTGTTCACTGACTATAAGCAAATGCATTCCTATACGCCTTCTTCCAAGAATCCTCATAGCAGCATTCACTTACCTACAGTACCTCATCTGTTTAGGGAATCTTTCTCTTCTATTATTCTTCACTCTATGCTTGGTCTTGCTATTTACAATTCCAGATTATGACAGGTTCCTTCCCACTCTTCTGTGTGATTGGCAGATTGGTTTATAGGCAGACACAGTATGCCGGCAGCTGCCATCAAATGAGTCCCCATTCGCAGCTTTCTGTGAAGAAAGTCTCTGAGAGATCAGACAATCGTCTCTAAATTAATTCCAAGTGCAGGCTTTCTGTCTCTCTGTTCTTATCCTGTGAGAACTTTGATGGATCTGTCACGGGCTCGCCCACCTCCTTCTCGGACTGTTTCCCAAACCAAACCTAAAGTCCGCATCTCCTGTAACACCCCAGGGAAAGTGCAGCCTCGTGGGGCACGGAAGAGGACGGAGCCCACGTCAGGCTGTGTTCTTGACTTTGGATTTTTATATCTGTTCATTTATGTGACCTGGAAGTCTGGTTAGACTGAGACAGTTGTGGAACTGCGGCAGGTGAGCGCTGGGCTGGAAGACCTAGTGTCAGACATGCTACCACCTATGTTTTAAACTCAAGGAGAGAAGGAACCTTTGCGCCATCCCAGTGCTAAATTGCTGAGGAAGTGCTACGTTTGCTTAGAGTTAGGGAAAGGCATCAGAACTTCTGTTTGTCTTCTGACAGTCCTTGGAAGTTTATCCCCAAGGGATTTAAAAGGATTAGTTCTTGGAGCTTTCATGGGGAGCTTTTGTTTGTCTTTATTTTGGGGGATTTTTTTGTTTGTTTGTTGTTTGCTTGCTTGCTTGCTTTTCGGAAAAAATAAGTTTCTTTAAGTAAGAAAACTCAAGGAGCAGGAAGAAAAAGTAGCATGTCTAAATTCTAATATGTATGCCTGTTTAGAGTTATGAATGGAAGCTTATATTATCTTGCCATTTATATAAGAATCCTGTGTAAAAAGTAATGAAGGTTCTTTCTCAATCTGTAGGCAGTCGTTTTGTTTTGATGACGGTGTCCTTTGCTTTACAGAAGCTTTTCAGTTTCATGAGGTCCCATTTATTGATTGTTGCTCTTAGAGCCTGTGCTGATGGTGTTCTGTTCAGGAAGTTGTCTACTGTACCAACGAGGTCAAGACTCTTCCCCACTTTTTCTTCTAACCGATTTAATATGTCTGGTTTTATGTTGAGGCCTTTGATCCACTTGGACTTTAGTTTTGTGCAGGGTGATAAATATGGATCTATTTTTTTCTACATGTAGCATCCAGTTAGACCAGCACCATTTGTTGAAGATGCTACCTTTTTTTTTCCATTGTATGGTTTTGGCATCTTTGTCAAAGATCAGGTGTCCATAAGTGTGTGGGTTTATTTCTCAGTCTTCTATTCGGTTTTATTGATCCACTATTCTGTTTCTATGCCAGTACCATGCAGTTTTTATTACTGTTGCTCTATAGTACAGCTTGAGATCAGGGATGGAGATACCTCCAGAAGATATTTTATTGCAGAACAAAACAGGAAACAAGTTAGGAGCCTCCCACAGAGGGTCTCTGAAAGGCTCTGCCCTGCAGACTATCAAGGCAGATGTTGAGACTTATGGCCAAACTTTGGGCAGAATGCAGAATATCTTGTGAAAGAAGTGGAAAATAGTAAGATCTGGAGAAGACAGGAGGTCCACAAGGAGAGCAACAGAACCAAAAAATTTGAGCATGGGGGTCTTTCTAAAGACTCATACACCAACCAAGTACCATGAATGGAGATAACCTAGAACCCCTGCACAGATGTAGCCCATGACACTTCAGTATCCAAGTGGGTTCCATTGTAATGGGAACAGGGACTGTCTCTGACATGAACTTATTGGCCTGCTCTTTGATCATCTCCCCCTGATGGGGAGCAGCCTTACCAGGCCACAGAGGAAGACAATGCAGCCAGTCCTGATCCAACAGACTAGGATCAGAAGGAAGAAAAAGAAACCCTCCCCTACCAGTGGACTTGGGGAGGGGCATGCATGAAGAAGGGGGAGAAAGGGAAAGATTGGGAGGGGAGGAGGGAGGGAACTAGAGGGGGGATACAAAGTAAATAAAGTATAATTAAAAATAAAATCAAATAAAAATTAAAAACAAACAAAAAGTAATAAAGGATCAGAGCTGAGGAAGGACACTGAATGATGAACTCTCTCCTCCATATATGCATATATGTGTACACACCCACACTAGTAAGTACACACATACCTACACATGTGTATGCACACACACCACAACCAGTACTGCCACCAGCACCCACATACACAACACACACAAGGAAACTATAAAAGTTTAAGTTATATATGAATATATATATTTATTACCAACTTTAAATGCTCATATACTTTCTTATGTCAAAAGGTAAATCAAGAAAAAAAACAACTAAAAGATCAACATGAAAAAAAGATGTTGAAATAGTAACCATGATTCGTGAGTCATTCATGTCAGTTTTAATACATCCTTAAGTGGGTCAAGAAGCTTGGGTGGGTTGCGTTATTCCCCCATCCATAGGTTATACTGGGGTGAGTGAGAAATGCTTAGATAAAGCACAAATAAATAGTGTAAGCCAGGGGCCTAGAAGATGGCTCAGCAGATAAAGTATCTGCAACCAACCCTGAAACGGGGGCTCATTCCTTGGGTCTCATATGGCAATTTTTTTTTAAAAGAACCAATTCCTGAACAGTATCCCTTGATCGCTATACACATGCGATAGCGTGTGTGTGTGTGTGTGTGTGTGAGTGAACACGTACTACATACCGTACAAAAATTTAAATGTAAAAAATAAACTGTAAATTTCACTCAATATCAAGAAAATGTAGAGAATTTCCATTATCGCTCCTGGTTTTCAAAGAAATATATCAGAACACTGGGATGGAGGGTCCATATTATTTATTTGAAAACACCCTACGTCAGATGTCGGGAAGGTAGAGGGCAGGTTTCTCAGACACACGGCCCGTCAGTCACAGCACAGGAAAGGCGATTGCTGGTGCCTGGCATTCGCATGTGAACAGAATGGCACGGATGGGCGTCACATCATCCAAGCCTGAATTTATTCATTGTTTTCCATGGAAAGGAAACTCACCAAAGCTTAGCACTGCATTTGCTCTCTTCCTCGTGGAATGTGTTTTCAGATGAACGTTGTGTGTGCTTTTAGGGTGCTGTGATCACACCCACCATGGACCACCCCATGTCAATGCAGCCGACTAACATCGTGGGGCCCCTGACACAGCAGATGAACCATCTTTCCCTGGGAACAGCAGGAACGGTGAGTGGAAGAGTTTAGTTGTGCTTCTTGGGACTTGAGATGATGCCATGTGCTGTTTTCACTAGCATTGCCAGGAAGCTGCTGGTCTTCCATGACCTTCAGGTTCCGGCTTGAGCAAGCTTGCATGCAAGCGCAATTCCAGGGAACAGGCATTCACATGGGCAAGCATGAGGGTCCTGTGCCATCGCTGCGAGACTCCAGGCTTTTCTCGCTCTGTGGTACCGTGCACAAGTGCAGTAAAGCTCTTTTGGGAAAAGGGCCCATTCTGCCTTCACATGTAAAGCTACACCTCACGACCACATCCATGGGGCTGTTTTCCTCTTCCCAGCTGGTTACCAGCTGGACCTACTGTCAGTCTCAGGCCCATCACACATAAGAGCCCAGTTCTTTGATTAGTGTAAAAAACTTTTTATTCACTGCCAATGTCTGTCATAATAGGATGGCACTGATAAGTTGGCCCAGTTAAGTGCTTTTTATTTATTTATTTTTTCCTGTGGATGCATTGGCATAGCAACTACGGAAGAGAAGGAAAGAAATCTGGTGTGCTTGATATTTTTCTTAGAGTTATAATGCTTTTGACGACTGTATTGTTCTCATTTGCTTCTCTGGGGCTGTGATAAAATATGGACCAACAGTAACATGGAGAGGAAAGGGTCTATTTGGTTTACAGGTTACAGTGCATCAATAAGAGAAGCCAAGGCAGGAACCTGAAGGCAGAAACTGAAGCAGAGGCCATGCAGAAACAGGACTTGCTCAGATAACGTTCTTGTAGCCCAGACCCATGTGACTAGGAAATAGTACTGCCCAGAGTGGGCTATGTTCTTCTACATTGATTGACAATTAAGAACATGCCCTAAGACATGCTTACAGATCCATATGATGAAAGTAGTCCCTCAATTGAGGTGTCTTTTTCCCACTTCACATTTGTGTCAGATTGATAAGCAAGATCAACAGCCATCCCATGAACCAAAATTTATCAGTAGCGCACTTGAGCTTCATCAATGACATGCTCGAACTCACTGGTGGAGCTTTTTATTTTTATTTTTTAAAGAGAAGCCCCTCCAATAGTTATGCCTGATACGACCTAGCACACTAAACCCAAGCTTAACGCCAGCAGAGAACTCGAGCACCGTGGACTACCTTCAGCCACCCTCGAGTGTTTACTGCACACATGGGTTCGGTTCGGGAGACCTTGTCTTTTGTAAGGACGTGGAAAAGAAAGGCATGGTTTCTTTTAACCCAGGCAGCTTAAACAGCATAAAAGGACCCATGGAGGACACATTCTGTAGGGATCTCAACCTCCCTCTCTCCAGATGGAGATCATTCATTTTGACACATGAACACCTTAAGCTGCCAACTTTGTGTTTTTAGCCTGTTTATCTCTTCGGTACTATGACTCCCACAGAGGCACAGGCTCTGTGTACCACTGGCATGTTTTATGTACACTAGCTGTGGCTAGAGACCCTAGGAAAATGTCCTAGAAACAAAGGAAAAAGAAAAAAGTTTCAGCCCCACAGAGTGTTAAGTGACCTCTGTAAATATGGAGAAAACCGCATACTTCCGAGAAAGAACTTCAGTTCATCACAAGTTACGTACCTGCCCCACCGGCTACATGCCATTGGTGATAACTCACCTGCCCGAGAGCTGGCGCTGTCTTGTATGATTATGTGACATTCTCAGCTAGATTTTAGAAGTCAAGTCTGAGATCACAGTCAACTTTACACCGTGGTCCAGGTCATTTTCACTGGGGAGACAGAGTTTTGTAGTAATATTTTTACAGCTTTTAGTCAAGGGTAAGGATGGCTGTAGGCTCTGTGTCTTCCTCCGAGAGCAGATTTCAGATACAGTATTGGAAGGCCCAGTGCTTATGGCAGCCATGCTGGAGATTAACATCTGCCGGTCAGGTTTCTTAGGCACCAAAGACCCCCAACTGAGAATGAGTAAGAAATAAAGACAACCTGACTGTGTTAAGTGACAACCTCAACTGTGAATTTTTTGTCTGTTTGTTTTGTTTTGTTTTTGAGACAGGGTTTCCGTGTAGCCTTGGCTGTCCTGGACTCACATTGTAGCCCAGGCTGGCCTCGAACTCACGGAGATCCACCTGCCTCTGCCTCCCCGAGAGCTGGGATTATAGGTGTGCATCACCAGGCCTGGGTGTGTGATTTTTTTACTTGTAAAAACAATGAGTTATCATGGAAAACATAGGAAGAAGCCATTTATACATTTGACTCCTTTGACTAAAAAGCAAATCTGGCTTCATTGCCGACATTTCAATCTGCCAACTAGTAGAGACACACGCTGTGACTGAACCCTTAAAGAAGCAAACAAAACAGATAATAGAATAGCCTTCAAATTATTTTAGTTCCTCATTAAATAAATAATATAAAATTGCATATCTGAGCCTTTTCAACAGGAGCAGACCACAACTTTCACCCAGCCGCCAAAGGCAGAAATGATCATTTAAAGATACTGTGGACCACTGCCTCTCTTAGCAAGTAAAAGAGTTTGGCTCATGGACCTTATTTTTGATGCGAAATCCCTCTTCTTTTTTCTATTTTTTTTTGAAAATTGCACAATTTCACTATTGCAAGTAAAGAGTGAGTGTGGAATGGGATGACACACAGCAGACCTATGTACATAGTACTGCTATGTCACATAGCAGTACTATGTGACAAGTGGACACTTATCAAGCGAGGCACTCTTAACCTTCTATGCCTACCTGGTGAAAGTTCAGGCCACCATAATGGGCGTACCACCCCAATAAACCTATATGCCGACTCCTTTGCTTGATCTATTTCAGGGAGTATCAGTTATTTCTTTAACATGTCCACTGTGTTAACTGCTAACGTGACAGTCCAGGGTCCCAAAGCTAAGCTTCTGGTCATGATAAACAATCTTGCTGACATTTAAGCAAATACCTTCAACAATGCAATGAAGCATTCTGCATTATAAGCAAAGTTGCATCATACGAATATAATGGCATTGAAATAATAATATAGAGGGATTTTAACATCAGTGTAATACCTTTGCTGAGTGTTGGACATGTAATGGGCAGAGGCAGTACCTTCAGCAGCAAGGAATATGAGAACCTTGTGTAGAGAGTAGAGTCATGACCCATCAGCCATCGCCTCACGGGCACACAAACCCAAGATGTTCTCTCTCTCTGATTTCTTTTTAATATAAACTATATTTCAATGTGAAATATCCATGTATTTAGATATCTGACATTGTTTGTCCAATCAACTCACAGATTGTGCCTGGTCCTCTACATCTTCTCCCTGGCCATCCCTCCACCCTTCCTTTAGATAGCACCTCACCTCTCAACCCGTACATGCTTCCCTTTAGCAATCCTGTCCACGCTCATGGTTTCCAGCCCCATCTTCCACATTGAAGATTTAAACTTGAGCCTTTAATGCTGGTCTGAGAACATCAAATCCATCCAACTGGTTCCATGGAGATCCCTCCTCAACATCTCAAAGTCAGTACAGCTCATATTCATGTCATGAACTTCTTTGAGCTTCCTTCTAGTCACACCCTTCTCTTCCATGTTCCTGTCCTGTTTTATTTCAAGCTACTACTGTGGTGATCCACTCAGTAGCCAAACTGTACCCTTGGGACTCAATACACACACTGTCCTTCTTCCTTTTCTCCATATACCATTAGTTTTGAGGTCCTACAAGTTAAATCATAGGCATTTGTCAGAGCTATCCTCTCTTGCCCATTCCGTGGGTTCATTTGGCTCATTGTAACAGTCTCCCAGCTGTACTTCCTGCTTTCAATCTCATTGTTCTTCAGTTCATTCTCCACCCTGTCACCTAAACTGTGTGCTAGTCACTTTATGTTGCCATGGTAGAGCCTCCTTACCAAGAGTTTATTTGGTGTGGGGTTCCAAAGATGGAGTCCATCATACCAAGGAAGATGCGGTAGCAGGTGTCAGGAACAGGCGTCAGTCTGGTCACATTTTTGTCACACAGGAAGGTCAGAGAGAGAACAAGAAGTGTGCTGATGTGCAGTGCCTACCCCCAGTGGCCCGCTTCCTCCAGCAGGGTTCTTGTATCCTGAAAGTTTTGTAACTTCCTCAACATCACCACTAACTGGGAGCCAAGTGTCCAAACACATGAGCCCGTAGGGGCCACTTGTCATTCAAGCCTCCATGAATTCATTCCAGTGTCCTCGCCAACATGAGGGTCTCAGAGACTCTCAGACAGCTGAGCTCTGGAAAATTTTGCAGAACAAATTGTGAACAGGAACAAAAATAGTCTGGGAGCAGATGGGCTTCTAGGACATGGTGCAGTGAGATTTGGGGGATAAATGGGGATAGGTAGTGGTTAGGCTGAAGATCAGGGAGCCAGAGCAGAATTTTCCTGTTTTAGAAGGAGCTAAGGCCATTATGTGCCCTACTTTCCTTTTTTAAGATCGTGACAAAAGGAATAACATCGAACCAAGCCTACTTTTTATCTTCAAAAAAGGCAGGTATATTTCATCTCGTATCATCTCAAATTTTAGAATCATGTAGTTTAAAGAATTTCCACCTGGAATTTCCCTATTCAAAGTGTGTTGGTCAATTCTCTACCCATTGCTAAGCTGGGCTGAGTCTATAGGCTTTAAGCTAAATGAATTTTATGCAGACAAGGCTCCTATTTTATTTCATGTTTCTAGCCTTACAGAATTCTTACAGCTTTGTCTGCTTTTGTTTGTTCTTTCTCATAGAATTCCTCCAATGAAAGCAAAAGGCCCATTATCCCTAATTTCTTATCAAGTTACTGGGAGCTTTAGCAGAAGCCACCTGGGACTTGAGTGTGTTTTAAGAACCTCTACATTGTATGACAATCTTGTTTTACAACTTTCTTATCTCCTTTTCATTTGTTCAGCTGTTGGTCACCAGTGGCTTACAATGTCACCAGGCTCTGCTGAAAGAAATAGAAAGATGCTGTTCTGTAGGCTCCTCATCTTCCATTCAGTTTGCCATCCCCAAGCCACTGTTGAACAGTGACATCATTAGATTTCCATGGTGTGATTATTGTCACTCACAAAAACAATCCTGGAATTGTCGTCCTGGTTAGCCAGACTGTGCTGTCATTTCTCAGGCATCCCGCTTCTCCACTGTTCAAAAAATCTGATAATTACCAGATGAAGATATGTATTATTCATTGTTTTCAACATTAGGCATAAATATCAGCATTAAGATGGAGAATTATAAAAGTGAGCAGAAGATCTTAAATGGAATTATGACTCTGTAAATAGTATCCTAAGCAATAAATAGCTTCATAAATCCTAATGACTACAATTTCTTAAGTGAACACTTGGAGAAAAATAGCAGCCAATTACAAACTAATACAAGATAGAAAATGTAAATGCAAAGGTTATGGTTTTTAAATAGTTCTTTAATCTTATTATAACATAACAGTTCTTTACAGGGAAATTTTCTCATGTAAATAATGAATGAAAAGTTAGGGACAAGCATTTAGGGGTGGAGAGTTATTCACAAATATTAAACCTTTACTTCTAAGAAAATGGATCTTGAGTTTAAGTAAATTAATATCATTACTGAAAGGTCCTAATGAAACAATGTCAAGGAGCATGAGTTAGTTGGGAATAAAATAGGGCATAGAAAAATGGAATAATATAATTAAAAACTGTCCTTGTTATACCTTAACAAATGTGCACACAAACACATGTACACACACACACACACACACACACACACACACACATCAGATAAGGTAACCTGTACACTCTATTTATAAACATGGAGGGAAATTGCTTTGATGATGCCCTTGAGTTGTAAAGCATCAGTAAGGAGAACAACATGCTTGATCCAAGTGCTTCAGGACATGGCTCCTCGTTGTACATTTTCATTTTCCCGAAGCTGATGGGTGGAAATATTGTAAAATAAAAGAGAAAGCCTTTATGCCTCAAAAATGTTTGCCGCAGTATTCTAGACAATGTTTAGTAGAGGCAAATAACTAAATAAACCGTGACTCATCCATACACCCAAGAGTAGCACAGTGTGAGATCACACAAGTTTCATACAAGTAGGGAAAGCATTGTTGATAAAGTTAAGTCAAGAGGAGGCTGCAAACTTGCTTATGTGGGGCACAGGTAATGGTGATGGATTACCTACAAAGTAATTCTGTAGAGAAATACAAATTGGGGAGAGGCTGGAGAGGTGGCTCAGCAGTTAAGAGCACTTGCTGCTCCTCAGAGGGCCTGAGTATGGTTGCTAGCACCCACATCAGCTAGCTTACTGCTGCTTGCAAGTACACCACTAGGGAATGCAGCGCCATCTTCTGGCACCCATTGGCACTACACACACATGCACATACCCACGTAAAATCAATCTTCAACAAAAATAATGCAAAACAAGTGTGTTTATTTTGGAAATGATATTGAGGTAGTTTCTATTTTAATCATTTTGTTTGTATTCCTCAACTACTGAACAGTAGCTAGTTTTTGCTATATTAATATCTGTTTCTATGTATACTGTAATTACAGATAGGCATATATATCAACATGGGACAAAAATTAACTCATGTTTCCCCTAAGTTTTGGATAGTAGCTTGAAGCTTCACATTTTATAAAACGGTATCTAGGAATTAATATCACTGTTACCAAAATCTTTGGAATTGCTTTCAAACTGATTCTGCTTCAGAGAGGGGCTGATCTTCAAGTCTGTAGGCTGCTTTCCTATTTCATGAGACCAGACCACTCATGACTGTGACTTATTTGTATTTGAATTCTGAGCAATACTTGCTTGTTCTTGTCACCCTAAGTGCTTTACTATGTTCACGGCCCTGTTTAGATGTGCTATTTCCTCAAGAGAATGGTTGGCATTAAAGCAGGAGGCAGATCTGTGAATGGTCTCAAAAGATACTAAATACAAAATCTTGAGCATAAGCATTTAAAGTGTAATATGGGTCATAGGGATGAAGCAAGAGTTCATATGGGGCCGCCTATCCCTGAATCTTTTTGGAGAGCGGGGAGTGGGCATATTCTTTTTCAGTTCTTAGAAGGGCAGCTGTAACCACAGGCTATGCACCCCTTTCCTGGCTCAGGGCTGGTTAGGAATGGGAAGAGAAGTGGGAAAGCACAAGAGATGGGGCAAGAGAGGGTTATGGGGTGGGTAGACATGACAGTAGTTTATATGTGCATGTGTGAGGATGTAATAAACCCATAATTGTGTGTAATTATATCAAAATAAAGGCATTAGAGAAAAGGTCATGATGGAGTTGCAGGAATTAAGGCTTCTCTGTCATTTTCAAAAGAGCTAGTACATTTACTCCCCAATCCCCAGGTTGCAATGACTACTTATAGCTTAACTTCTCCCTAGATCTTGCCACCTCCAATGTTATGACACTTTGAAAACATCCATTTACCCTCTGTTTCATAGGATCTATCCTTGCAGGCTGCACACAGGTTCCTGGGCCTGGGGCAAAGAGTGTTCTGGGCTCTACTCCCTGGTCAGAGTGATAAAAATAATGATAACTTGAGCTTTATGACACATTTGATCCATACAGTGTAAGACATGCAGGTTTTTTGTTAATCCCCTTTAAAATTATTTCTTTTGTTCTCCACTCTTACCACACTTCGGGTACCCTCCAGATGGGCTGTCTTATAAAACTCTTAAGTCAACTGAGGGAGGGCACGAACCTCCCACTGATTCCCAAAGGGAGCAATCAAACAGACCAAGAGGGAGATAGCGATGATCTGAGACCAGCTGGTCCCAGCAGCATGCACAGCCTGGTGGTGATGGAGACTACGAGTCAGCTATTCACTAGAGCCACAGTGCCTTGAGTGTTCGAGGGGTGGGGGTGGAGGCAGGCGAGTGTGCGACGCACATGGGGCCTTCTGACTTTTAAAGCTAAGATTCTGTTTTTATTTTCCTTTGGACTTCATTGCATTCTTTCTCATGCTCTTTTCATTCCAAGATTCAATCCCAAGACAGAATTATGGTACTTCACCAGCTGTTGTGTCAGGTAGGAAAATTCTAATTCCTTTCAGACTTAATTGGAGGGGAGAGATGGGGCTTGCTTGGTTGTCTCCAAAACTCTTCAAAGCAGTGATTCTCAACAGGGGTGGGAGGAGACTTTGCATTTCATTTTGGCAAGGGGAGGGATGAGCAGTGTGAGTCTGTTTACTGGGACAATCTGGCTTAGTGTCTAGAAAATAAATACACTGTCTTTAAAATAAAAGTTAAAATCTCAAAGATGCTTTGTTCATGCAAGATATGCAGAAGACTTAGTCAATGTTCTGTGTATCAGTGGGTCTCACTGTTTGACAAGTCATCAGAATTTCTGCACAGTGGGGGAAAGAGTTGACATTTATCAAGAAAGGGGGGGCACATATTAATAAAAAGAGATTGAGAAGCGCTGCTTTAGAGACCAGAATTTCTCAGAAGTCAGAGATACCCCATGTGCTTGCTTGGCTCCCAGGACAGGGTCTGATGTGTGGACTCAATTTGTTGAATGAATCAAAACTTCATTTTTTTCTAAGATGTTATATTTGGAATATCAAAAGTGACACTTCTGATATTCCATCTTCACCATGAGGTAGCGGGGGTTGCTATGAGGATACATGAGGGTCTTAAGCATTCAAGTATCAATATTTAATTTGTTCTGTGAACTTTAATGGTGCAATTTGGAGCTTAGTATGTATATGTAAGGAAATTGGTGCTTTTTAAAAATTCTTTGAGCCGCATAGGTATTGTGCTTTGAACTTAATTTTTACTTTTGCTCTGTTGCAAAAAAGAAAATAAACACAAGTATAAAATAACTTTTTTTGGTTAATTTATTTTAATTAACTGAAGAGTAGTACAGAGCATGGGAGCATGGACCTCTTTGAGTCTCTGGCATGTTAGGTGGTTAAAAACACTCACATGGAACCCAGAAGGTCATTGGAAAGAGTGCATGGAACCATGGTTCATGAAATGCCCAAAAGAACGCAGGAAGCAATTGAGTGCGGCAGAAATGGCTCCATTGAAGAGCATCTCACTCAGGTCCACTGTACTTTCCTGACCCAGCATCTGAAGGGTGGCCCTTCCTCGTGCCCTGTGCAGATTCCTTTAGTTATCCTAATGGACAAGGTCATCTCAGAGCTGAGCGAATGTCCTCACTGAGTAGCACAGAGCTGGCTTCCAACTGGACATCACCTTGGTACTCATGGTCTCCACGGATTGCCATTCATTAAAATGTCAATGCACCTGTCATATTCTAATGTGTTCTTTGCATTTCAAACATGTAACACTGGAGAGGAGACTTGGTTATGCATAGCTTTTAATTTCTTTAACCCCTGGCTTCTTTGACAAGATGTTTATACTCCTCATAATTAACCAACATTAATAGTAACAACCAAATATCCTTCCATCTTTAATAACACAGTGAATGCCAGGCATGGTTGAATTCCTTAATCCAGGAATTTAACAGGCAGAGCTACGCACATCTCAGTGAATTCAAGACCAGCCTTATCTACATGTTGATGAGTTCTAAGCAAGTATATTGTGAGACAGTGTGTGTGTGTGTGTGTGTGTGTGTGTGTGTGTGTGTGTGTTAGACAATAAATATGGAAAGACATTCACACAAACACATCACAATGAAAATTGCAAGCTGCTTGTCAGAACTGTTTACTTTAAGATCATGAGTCCCCTGCTATACAAATTAATCTTGGCAAGAAACAATGCCTTACTTCAAGAGTTTTCATCTGATTCCACTGAAACTGTCAAGCAGATAAATGATTTGTTAAAATAATACTTAAAGAAAACCTTAAGTATGTAATGTGTTTGTAGAATGATAAATAGAAACACAGAGAAATATTTAAAATCCAAGATGTGGAGCTTGTGAGTCGACTCAGTCATTGCAATGCTTGCTGGAGGCCCTTAGTTCAGTCCTGAAACACACACACAAAAAAAGCCAGACATCCAGAAATGCAGGGCAGGCAGAGACCAGCCAGCCTAGCCTACGAAACGAGCCCCAGACTAAGGAAATACCCTACCTTAATTACAACAGTGGATGTTTCTCAAGGAATGACATTCAAAGTTGACCCCTCTTTATCCCCACAAGCACGTGCATACATGCATATCTACAGCTATCCACATGTGAACACATATAAACATGTAACCTCCAAACACACACACAGGAAAGCCCGATATGATACGTGGCTAATAAAATATATATTAAGTTGCCAATAGTGGAGTACAAAGAAAGAGACTAATAGGATGCATTTATGGAAAACCACATTTTATACTGAGCTTATCCTCATAATTTCGGACAGCGGACTGACCCTATTGCAAAATTGTACTCGCCTTAGGCTTTTGCCTAAATAGCAATAGATGTACTGTCAAAAATGGTCACTATCACAGTGGTAAACAATTTAATTGGCATTTGTACAGTTATGTATCTTTTGTCCAAATGTTGATTCTGAGTCTGATAAGGTAATAACTCTTTTCCAAATATCCCAATGTCCCAGAATCAAGTGATTTAGTTGATTAGCTTTTGTCAATATATGAGCCAACCAAATCGCTCTAATATATTGGAATTCAAGATACTAACTTAATTATCCACAGGCATATAATCAAACCTATTCACTCCCATTCAATCAATATTTCAAACATTATCAAACTATTTCACAGGTGCTAGGTACTAGGCTAAGTATTGAAGATGCAGATATGAATAGAAAACCCATCCTTAGTGAAAAATTATCATGGTTCAATTTGATTTTGCTGTTTCTTGGGATGTTATTTGTGATGATATAAACACAGAGAAACAAGAATATTGAAAGATTTGAGGTACAGAGGAACAATATGAATTGGAAGAAGGACCGGTAAGGCTGGTTTACCAGATAGACGAGCACAGGGAGGTCTATTGGGAATACACTACAAAGTACGTCAGCTTTAGCCTGGGAAACAGCATGAGGGTGTAGAATGGCAGCAAGTCATTGGAGATTTGAGGGCAGAATACAACTTTGACATATATCAAAGTTAGGTCTGTGTGGTTCTCACTTGAAGTAAGGATTCCTTGTTCTTTCAGTGGTATGTCATCTGTTTTGTTTTGTTTTCATTTATCCAACCTCTGTTGGTAACCTACTATATGTTAGCTTGTGTTCAGTGCTGAAAAGAGAACTTCTGGTTAGGAATAAAAGACATTACTTATGAATGGCTTACTAGAGCAATGTAAATGCTTTGCGATAAATTTTTTAATTCATAGATAAAATTCTCCAAGTTCAGAAGCTACTTGCACCATTTTTTTTAGTTGTGGACACTTGGGAAAATTACTGAACTTTCTGTAGTTCTTTATCTGGGGAAGTACTAACCTTGTAAGGTGGTTGTAAGCATTGATTAAGTTAAGCCAGAACCAATCCCAGCATAAACAGAATATTCAAATAGTGTTCACTACAGCCACACTAATCTTTATTGGCACAGTATGTTATGTTGGTACAAAAACGAGCAATGGACATGAACTAAAGGCCAGAGAAGATTCCAGGAAAATAATTCTCTAAACATAGAAATGACACATGGGAATTAGCTAAGTAAAAACATACAGAGCTCATAGTTTCAGACCAAGGAAGCAACTTGTCCAAAGGCTTTCGAGAGCAGTGGATGGAAAGGTTTGAAACTGCAGGTGGATTAGCAGGACACAGATAAACAGAGAGAGAGATGGGAGTGAGGAAATTAGCCTAAGTAGTAGGTCAGCTGTAGCAGCATTGTCAGGTGTGGCAACTTGAACTTTATTTTGATGACAATGGAAATGTTTTGAGTTGAAGAATGACACAATCACTCTACCTATAGGATGGAGACTATCCAGAAAACAGGCAAAAAGAGAAAAGGGCCAAACAGCACTGAGGAACCTGAGGAAGAAGTCATGGTAGCAAGTAGTCCCATTCTGGAAACGACCATGACATTGAGTGCTAGCGAGTTTCTGATAAGTGAAAGACTTGGAATACAATGGATGTTGAATCAACTGAGTGCCAGGCTGGATGTCAAAATAACAAAGCATAGGTCTTCCACCCCTGCAGCTCAGTGACCTAACATGTCCCTTTAATGAGCTAAACGGAAGGAAGAGCAAGCCTGCTCCATGCAGATAGTTAGAGGCCAGCCTGGGCTGCAGAGAGGGACTTCATTTTCCTGCCTCACCCCAAATCAAACTGAACAAAACCATTGGCAAAGCAGTGTAAAAAGCTGGCTTTGCAGTCTCTGCCAGCTACTGACACAGATTTGCACTCGAGAGCCTCCTTATGTTGCAGACAGGGAGGCTTAGCTGAAGCCTAGCTTCACACTGTCTCCCCTCGCGTGAGAATTCCTTTTGAAGCCTCCCCCATATAATCAGCAAGATGGGGGATAGTGTTTAAGCATCTTCAAAGAAGGAAGCTGTTTTTCAAGCTCTCAACAACATGTGTTCTCCTGGATTCCATGAGATAATTCCAAATGACTTCCATCTCATCTCTTAATTAAAAATTAGGTCCATTAGTGGTTCCAATTAGCAACAATTAACCATTAAATTGTGTTTACTGTAAGAGACCCGACACAGTTATAAGCGCTCCCACAAGCCATGCTTCGAAGTCAATTTCCTTTCGCCCCTCAAACACTGCGTGCTTCTTTGATGGCAAGAAGGCATTCCTTGAACTGTACTAAGTAATTGCATCTCTTTCTTTTCAGTAAGTTGTAATGAGCGGGAGTTTGCTCCACTCGGCTCTTCAGGCAGCAGATACTGGCTGACTCTCTGCAGTATTGCAAAGACGCAGAAGGCCGGGCTCTGAAGAGCAAGCTCTGGCACAGTGGGTGACAAAGTTCAGAAGCTGTCTGCCCAGCAGGCTGCCCATTAAAAAGGAGACTTGTACAAGCATTAGGCACATGGGTATATGCACACCGAGTCATCGTGTTCCTGCTGGTGCATTTTGGGAATGCAGTTTTCAGTGATCTAGTCAAGTGACTTCATCTATAGAAAGACGGAGCAAACAAACTCTTCTTACACATGAAAGCATTTAT